GAATATGCTCTTATTTATTACTCATATGAAACATGTCATGTTCTGTGGAAAAGGTCTGGAAATAAATTGAATGGGTAACTGTACCAACACTTCCAAAAAAGTGTCCATTCACGCCGCTCCATTCAGACTTTAGAAAGTAGTGATTGAGAACTATCATCATTTATTTCTATTGTTTACCTTTCTGGAAAACCGTATGGACTTTTTACCACTGGAAAAAAAGAGTTTGTATCTTGTTTGTATCTAACAGATTATCGAAATGGAATTATTATAATGACGGGCTCCTCAGGAGGCCCCCTTTCGTGGTGCGTTGTTCTAGCTTTCCGTGGAGCGATCTCCGGTTTGATTCCCGGTCGGGGCAAAAACAGAGCTGTAGCTTTCCAATAAAATAGTCTGTTTCTGAGGCTATGTGGCGAAGAAATGCTCAGGTAGGCGGGGCTTGGTAGATACGACGAAGGGAATTTGTCATGCTCGCTGGTATGGTTATATGTAGTGATTCAAATTGGGCGCGCTGGCAGCCGGGCTATGCGTGTGGCGTAGGCAACAGTGGCAGCAAAAGCAGCCACCGTAACCAGTGACAGGAGCGAGTCTCTGGCAGTGACATCGCCTGGCGTGTATAAGGGGCGACAGACGACGATGCAGAAGTAATGTATTGAGATAGAGCTCCCGTGTTATAAGTGTCTATTATTGTGATTGTGCCTACGCTGGCCATGCCTGCTGATATATATTGTTGGTTCTAATTGGATATTAGTTACTTGGGATTGAACTGAAAAATCTCCTGGCGACGACAACTGTGCTTGTTTTGTTGTACATCTTCTGGTGTACACATTTGTGAGTATTGTATTGGTACGATTTGGAATCTGGCTAGTAAGAAGTGAATAATGAACTTTTGTTTTTGGTTTATTGCTGTATTTTCTGGACATAACACTCACTTCATGTCTGACTTACTCTCAGGTGTGGAAATTAAACGACGCCCACGCCTGGGAGTAGCGTAAGCTAGCCGACAAAGTTGGACAAAAGTGACCCAAATGCGAAAAATGTACATACATTACAGCGACGGTTTAAGACTGATTCGGAATGCGTGCTGACTTCTTTCCCCAAAATGAAATTTTTAGAAATCAATTAAACGGAAAACGATGGCGATTTCTGTCAGTTCATTAGGATACCAAGAAGCACCGTACTTATATTTTCCTAATGCGCTGACATGAGACTTCGCTTCGTTTACCAGAGGAACGATGAATAACTACACCGTTCGTGTGTCACCAGTTGGGATCCGCAACGTTAGTATGCTCCTAAATCGGTGGGTACTCTAAACTCATTTTCAAAAATATATTCACTATTCGCAATGATACCTTAAAATATATAATTGGCTCTTTGACATACAAGCCTGATTTACAGAAAACAAAGGTCTAAATCCAATAGAAAAGTGGGATCCTGGTAGGATACGAAATTTTTAACTATAACACTTTTGTATCACACTTTCAAATCGTAAAAATAATGTTTAATTTAATATCTGTTACTGAACATTAAATACTGTTAAATAGAAAGAAGACCTTTTTTTATTCCACGCTCATTCACAACGGGCCTGTGCGTAAGGTGGCATGACAAACACTGAGTCCTGAGTAGACATTCACAATGAACCATATCTATATTCTCTAACCATTTTAAAGACATTCTAAGGCCATGTACGTTTAGTTTCCTTTAAAAATACTTTGCCGATTGGACAGGCACATCAGAAACTTCCATCGGGATACCGATTCCAAAGAGTATCTCTTAAAACAGCTCGTATCTCCACGAAAAAGAAAATATTTCCGTAGAGAAAGGACGGAATTTGGAAAGGCAGCAGCTTCTGCGTCTCAGCCGGCAGCCGCCGCACCGCGGCGAGCGGCGAGACGGCGGAAGCCAGAGCGCCGCGCGCGCCGCAGCTCAGTCCGGGGCCGTCAGCTGCAGCACAGCGAGGCACTGCACAAGCGGCGTCCTCGCGTGGTCCTCAGCTCCAACCACTGCTCCTGGTTGGGCACGTACATCTCCGCGGGCATGGCGGGGTCCTCGGCGGGCGGCGACGGCGACTCGGAGGGCGGGGACGGGCGGCCGCGGCGGCTGCGGCGGTGCTTGGTGTCGTGACGGTGCCGGCGCTGGGTGGTCGGGGCGGCGTCGGCGGCCGGGGCGGAGCGCGGCACCGTCATGGGATGCGTCCGCACGCGCCGTGCGCTCAGCAGCAGCGCCCCACGCCCTCGCACGTGCGCAGGGCTCCGAGGCCGCACAGCGTGCGCCGTGCAGCTCGTGGGCGCCACCGCGCGCGCGTCCGTCAGCCACTGCTGCCACGCGCCGAAGTCGCCAGCGTGCAGCGGCCCCACTTCTCTGGCACAGGACAATCGCCACTGTGCAACGACGAGTAGCTCGGTGAGGCGAGAAGCGGGGAACGACGCATGCCTTGGGCGGGACGAGCAGGGGGACGACCGCGTGGGGACCGCAAAGCGGGGACGCTGATCGCTGGCAATCGGGTGGCTGACTCGGCAAGCGGGAGGCCAACCGGGCATGCGGGTGGGCGGTCGGGCAAGTGGGGGACCGACCGGGCAAGCGGGGGACCGACCGGACAAGCGGGGGGCGACCGGACAAGCGGGAGACCGACCGGGCAAGTGGGTGGCCAGCCGGGCAAGCGAAGGGGCCGACCGGGCAAGCGGGCAGCAAAGCCAGGAGGCAACCGAGTAAGCGGGCGGTAAGGCGAGTGAGCATTAAGGCAAGAGGAGACATTATTCCGAATTTGAATTGTAAGCACAGGCGCGGATCCACGGGGAGGGAAATGAAGGAAATTTCCCTCCCTAAAATTTTTCAGTAACTATTAATTTTAACTGGTCACGAAAAGGTCAAACAAAAATATTTTCGGATTATCATTAAAACGAATAAAATTGAATTGCAGCATTAGCTGAATGTAGCCTGCGATATTTTACAAAATATGCAATGACACCTTCCACGCAAACATTCAAACATTTTTAATTTCCCCTCCCAAAGTTTGTCTCTGGATCTGCCCCTGGTAAGCTAAATAACGTGCTCAATTAAATACTCAATTGCGAGAAACTATTTGAATAAGATCGCTAGTAATGATTTAACCTCCGACGGGGATCCCCGATATTCGCATTCCTAGAATCTTATGAAATTCATTTCCTTTATTGTTCGCGCATTCGTGGAGTGCTTAATTTACCACTTGTGTATTAACCCAAATTAACTGGAAAACAATGTATTATCCAGAAGCTATTTTTGTTCTACATTAATTATTAAATTTCTTTTATCTACATTAATTATTAAATAATTGAAGTTACACAATTAGATGATGCAGAAACCCTGAAAAATAATAACATCTGAAACTTATGTCCGATCTACTGAACTTTTATTAATACTACTTCTTCAACTCTCAAATGTATCAAACAACTCGCAGGTCGCAGGAAGAGGCCACCCTCCTAACCATCTACCTGAACGTACAAGAGAGAAATTGCCTTTTGACGAACATTAGTGAACGTTGAGACATCGTAGGGCAAATAGGCTAATTTTACTTATTAATTTGTAGATGCTTTTTGTAAATATGAAATTGTTCTGTTATCCAAATTGCAGTCCTCTACACACATGCCAACATCAATTGCTTCGGTCACTTTTCGGCTCGAAAAGAACTCCAAAGAAACTCTCCTTTTACACGGAACAAGTTTCATCTGTTTCGTGACATTAATAGAAGTTATTCTGCAACTCTTGTACCTCATTAGGAGTGGAAAACTTTCAAGCGCATGAGGATACGTTAACAGTTTTAAGGTTTTTGCTATAGGAAGAATCTACTTAGGGGGAGTTAAAAGTAACAATTATCATTCATGTGTAGGAAATATTTTGATGGAGTACTTAGGCATTACACACCAACTTTGGAGGATGAAAAAAACACGTCATATTATAAACTATGGCAACTTTCATCAACACGCGTTCTCCTTAATATGTTATTCTTTAATGGCTACACTCACTTACGTTAGATGAGTGTGTGTAGGTTGTCTCTTCCGAACTACAGTTTGAATGATTTTTCGTTCACCCTAAAGAAAAGGGGAGCTTAAAAAAGTAAGAACCCGAAAATAGTTTTATAGCTTGCACTAAGTAATAAGAACACCATAAATTATTCTGAAACCTAAGATTATTTGCTAACACAATTACAAAAATTTAACTCACTATAAAGTAGTCAACTAAAATGTTGGCAAACCACATACAAATTCTTACAAATATGTGTTGTTATTAACAACTATAACATATGTGTTGTTACTAACAAAGTTATTAACATACGGAATATAGATTTTAGGACACTAATGTCTGTAGACTTTTTCAGTTCCCACCAAATTCAAGTATTTTTAATAAGGTAATTATAAAACATTATCCAGTCACATTACAAGCGTTTTTTAAAAATTTCTTTCAATTATTTCCAAATGAATATTAAAGGTTTCACTTGCGTAATATGTAGAGAGAAATGTTTTCAATCACTTCTTCCGAATGGTTTGAATGCTAATACTACTGTAAAATAAAATACTGTTTTCAGAACTCATGTATGGAATCTAGTACTTGCCCTTACAGTTTATTTATTGGAATGTACCCGTATGTGTACTGCATAGTCGACAATGCGATTATTTAAAACTATACAATACATTGTCGACCATATAAAATAACAAGGTATTGCAAAGCAAACAAAAGACAGGGGTCTCCTGAACTGACTTGGCTGGCGCCTCATATATTAAGAATGATCTCAAGAATTTACACTTACGATTCGTATGAAAATGTCTTTGGCGAACTCTTCAAAATGTGGGACTCGGTTCCTATAGTCGCCTCGTCCGTCATTTCATTCGTACACCAAAGACTCACTTTCTGTACTAGTTACGTAAATAACTGTTTTTGTGACACGTTAATTTATGACTTTCTATTTCATGAATGAGATTTATGAGATTTTCGGGCCGATCGCTTGCCAGTTGGCGGGCAGCACTCACGTGAACTTGATGCGGTGCATGTAGATATGGTCCAACCAAGCTTCACACATGATGCGGACAGTCATGCAGCAAATAGTTTCTTGCACGGTTTGCGGGAGCGTGGCAACGGCCAACAACACGGGCCGCAAGACGCGTTCTGGAACACCACGTTTTTTGTCAAAAGTACGAGCATCCGAGAGAGGTGGCAATGTAAAGAGCGGCACAAATGTTTAGGTTGGCTTTACTAATACATAGGGAAAGGCAATCTAACACAGAGGGCAGAGATGGGAAGTTTGCCAACTGACGTGGAAATGGCAGAGCCAAAAGTGAGCTTGTTGAAGAGGTAGAGGTGACGCAAAAACTGCAGGAATTACAATAACCGGGGAGGTGACCAAAACGGTGACGGTGGCTGAGATTGCCGAATTTTCACTGGTGACAGCATTAGAACTAAAAGTAAAGGTAACATAAGCTGACTCTTTATAAGTGTTATTTTTATGCAACGTGAATCTCGCTTACCGAGGTATTGCTCGACATAAGAGCTGGCATAAGTCGGCATTTCTCGCGTTTGCCGATAGTAAGTGGGCTCCGGGAAGACCATGTGCAGGTTGGCTAAACTCACGGTCCGGCAGACCGCCGCCATGCAGGCAAGACACTCTTCGGGTACCTTCTGCAACAGAAAATGTCGTCAAATTATTAATGCACTAGAAGTAATCCGTCAAAAATGACGGGACGAAATTAAACTCTTGCATTAATAACGAATAAAAACCCAATATCAATATTTATTAAAAACGCAGTCCTTCTTCAAAGTGCCGTGCGAGTTATTTTCTTTCATTTCAAGACTTCCTCAATTGTCAATTTTCCCCATTGAATTGCTCCGAGAAACATTCATACAAACATTTTTATTCTGGAAAGGGCTATGTGAAGTTGTACTTGCAAAGTAGGGTTATTCTAAACATACATCCACTAGTCGAAAGATTGGCCATCTGAATTCTTCATTATGATAACGAAGACATTGTTAAACCTCTGAATGATATAATGCACCCTTGTAACAGTAATTCTGAGTTTTGTCGTAACTTACTTCCATCTCGAATTTCAAAGAATTTCCACTCCAATTACACTTCCGCTTACACGAAACTCTGCCCCAACAACTGAATTGCGCGTCCCAGAAACGTCCGAATTATACCGCCTGATGTTTTAATTCCACCAAATAATGGTACGATTTCATGTCAATCAGTCGGTTATTAATTTTTTATTGCTTACAAGGACATCCTAACTGAAAAATATTTTTGGAAGCGTGTTATTAAACCACAAGTAACAGCTTGCAAAAATTCAAGTTGTTAACTTGCTCCATTTGCTCAAACTTACTGCGATGAGTACTATCATCGACTCCCGCTCGCCCCAACTCATCCCTTTGTTTCAAGGAAGGGAGGGGGGCCATTTCAATTTAATCCCTATTGATAAATAATTGTTAGCTTGAAATAAAAAAGATAGTACGAGTATATTAATAATGGGAATGATTCTTTGGATGTGATTAGATCTACCTATGAACATTACTTTGAATCAATCGACTAATATTACAAAAAAGAATAATGTTGCCTGGGAGGGGAGGGTAGCGAGGTAGTACTAGCGTAACTTTTCCTGAACGATGGATTGAAGAAATGTGGGTAGAGTGGGGGAATTAGTAACGAATTCATCCACTAGATTTTATGAAGCAATGCCAGTCTCTAGAGAATTAACCATGCCTTCGCAACTTTGTCAATAATTTGCGTTCAAACTTTCTCCTATGACAGATTTTCACCTGTGATAAATTGTCAGTCATTTGTTTAGATCTTTTGGAGAAAATCACGGACAGAAGTTGTCTTCAACACAAAATGTTTTATGTTTCGCGCCGGTGAAGATGTGTTTGGTGTGTTGTTATCGGTACTCGCTGAGAGCTTTTGCCTTCAACTGATTATTGAGCCAGAGAGGGGGAAGCAAAGTCATCGTTCAAGAAGAGTTGCGAGAGTAAACCCCACGGCCCCGAGCGAGCGCCTCTGCTCACCTTGAGCTTGTCGACGTTGTCGCGCACCTCGGAGACGAGCTTGGCGCGCATGCGCGCGCACACGACCACGTGCTCGCTGCCGGCGGCGCGCGGGTCCTGATGGTCGGCCAGGCGCAGCGCGGCGAGCGCCGCCACGCTCGCGCCCACGTCCCACTGCGACACCAGCGCGAAGCCGCCCACGCGCCACGCCGCCACCTGCGCGCGCGCCGCCGCCGTCGCCCACAGCCGCGCCGTGTGCACCTGCGCAGTCCGCCCCCGCACCAGCCTCAGGCGCGAGCATAGCGTCCTGTAGCGCAGCCTACGTAAGATCTGGCGAGTTATAACTAGTCATGGTGATGGGGTTGACCGGGGGTAACAGATGCGTTAGTCATATTAATCAAGTCATCATAACTAGTAGCCGCCCGCGCCCCTTTGAAAGAACCGGCACCGGTGCGCAGCAGCGAGGTGGCGGCGCCCCAGAAAATTCGGGCACCGCTCACGGGAGGTCGCTGCGGTCAGCGCGACCGAGCGCGCCATCGGCCGTACGGCCGGGCCAATCGGCGAGCCTTCAGCGCTGACCGTGTATAAAACGGCGCACAGCCAGCTGTGAAGAAAGCAGCTTTTTTGAGAAAGCAGCTGACTCGGAAAATGAACGCATTTCCGCGATCGCCTCATACGAACCCGATCTAAGGGCGAAGTATAGGCGACCGAAACACTTTCTGGAGTAAGAGCAATCTGAAACAGAGAAGTGGGACTGGGGCATAAACATAGTATTACAAAACACGCAATGCGCGCGCCGGTAGGCTAGTCTTTTTTGACTTTTGTTTTTTCTCTTTATATTACAGGATAGGCCATAGATGCCCGTAAGGGTAGGAATGGTCCCACCGCGGTGGCGTGAACGCGCATTGCACTTTAAGTGCGTTCACAAAACTGCACAAATACTGTGTACTGCTGATGAAGCCAGCTCCAGTCTTTCCATCATAGCACGAGCCACGAGAGTGCTAGTGATTGGGCGACTACGCTGCCGGCCAGTATTATGGACTTCTCTTCGGGTATTTGGATTGTGACCACGGCGCCGTGTTTGGACATCTTTTCGGTTTTTCGTAAATTTGGCAAGTCTCCGTTAAATCTCCCGGCTATTTTGTGACTACGCATGTTGACGGCTTTCCCTGTATTCTTGAATAGTGTGAATAAAAAACGAAATTTGCTTATTTTGGTCATAACAATAACCATTACCGTCACCATCACCATCACAAACACCATTAATATGAATATATTATAATATTATATCATTATTACATTATTATTATATTATTATTTCTACATTTTGCCAGGCGGGACACTTTAGTGCGCCACAGCTGTACGTCGTATTGCAATTCGTGAATGTATTAAGAATTTCCATTGCACGAGTTATCATTATTTCACGTATACGTTAATAAACACACACAACTATCGAATAAGCAAATACGACCAGAAAGATATAATTTTAACATACCATATCATTATGAAACATTAATATCAATGCCTCCTGAAATTATTTCACACAAGTTTTGGAAATTGTAGCACTAAAAAAATTAATTCAGAGTTTTGTTGTGAGCTAAACTTTCTTACTCTTGACACGAAGCTAGAATACGCTAGAGCTCTTGGAACGACACCAATCGGAAAAATCATAGAACTCCTGCTGGGGCAAATCCTGGGGAAATGATCCTCAAATATTTACTGCACAAATTCGAGAAATATAGATACCATATTTAGTACAGAGGAGGAACACCATATTAGCAACATCATTTCTTCCAGGAATGTCCGTTTAGGTTCACCAATTAGGTTCACCCGATCACTTGCTTGATTGTTGTCAACATAACGTCGACTCAACAAAATAAAACGGTATATAAAAAGAAATTATTTTGTGATTTCTGCTGGAAAATTGTCACTGCCACATAAATAGACACTCGCTAGAACAACTGAATTAGCACATCTCACGAAATTAATGAAAAAGCAGTGTCTTTGGTCAATAGATATTACTTAAATCGATCCCAGAGCAAAAGTTGAAATCAAGTCGTAAGGATGTTTTTAATGCAGTGAAGTTATTTATATGGTCAACGTGACAGTGGCCGTTATAGCTAGAGCATGCTAACCGGAGATAATAATTTTGGCGTTTTTGTGATCAAACTACTATGATGAGAGCACCAACGTTTTATACCTGGAATTGGTAAATGATTTGATGTATTAGTGATCATGATCTTGTACGCAACGAATGATGAAGTAATGGAGAAATGAGAGGAAAGAGAAAGAGGGGAAAGTCAGAGAAAACATTTCGAACCTACAAATTTCATGAGGATTGACATGTACCGAACCGCGGAACCTATGGTGTACTCTGGCCCGAGATGTTCACCAGCGTAGTGTTGTTATTCGCCTATTGGTAAGGTATTGTTGGTTTATGTCTATTAAAAGGGGCAAATGGGCAGAAATAAATGAAGACTTTACAGACATTTTTATTTACAAGGTGATTACTTTGATGACGTAGCCACGATCTTCAGATCTGCCGTCCGAAATAACGAATTCTACTATCCAATTTACACATCATCTTTCAGACAGCAGATTTGAAGATGGCAAAATCATCTAAATTCTACATCTCGCAGAACATCGTTAACGCCAACTTGTCCTCTCATCGTTCGTGCCGTGCCGTTGGCGAAGTCTCACCGAGTGGTCGAGGCGGTGCAGCACGGGGATCTGCTCGACGAGCGGCAGCTCCGCCAGCGGCGCGCCCGCCGCCCACGCCGCCGTCCCCTCGCACGCGTTGCTCAGCGCCACCAGCGAGCGCAGCACCTCCGCGAACAGGCGGCCCGCCTCCGTGCCGCCCTGCGCACGCGCACGCCCACACGCACTCGCACTCGCACTCGCACTCGCTCCGGCACGCCCTCAGCGCACGCACGGGGCAAGAGAAGGAGGAGGGAAAATCAGAACTACACGAATAACAGGAAAGACAAGAATAAAGTATAATAATAATAATAATAATAATAATAATAATAATAATAATAATATAATAAGGTAAGTCGAAAAATATCTGAAGTATTCCCTATCACCAAAGGACTGCGACAAGCATGTGCAATCGATCTCACACTCCACAAAATATATCTTAAATCTGCCCTGGAGAGATAGAGTTGAGCTGGCGCTATTGTGGGAATTTCCATCAGAACTGATAAACTGTTCACTTTGCTTTTTGCTGACGACCAACAGATGTTGGCAGAAGATGATGATATCCATTACATGTTGAGGAAGCTGTTTGAAGAATACCAGAAATGGAGGGGAACAATAAATATCCCTAAACAAGTATATATAGTAGCTGATAATGTAAACAGAAATTTGGAGCTACAAGGTAGTAATTTCAAAGGAGCTGATACCTTGGAGTAACATTTATCAAAAATGGTAAAACTGAAGCTGAAATTATTGAAAGAATAAGAAGAGGGAAATAATTTACACAAAAGCTGCACAATACTTGCAGGAGCAGTATTGATCCTACACGAAGATGAAGATATTGTAGAGAACATTGTTACCTACGAAGCAGAAGTGTGACCAATAACAGAACAACCAAAGAAAAAATTAATAGCAACAGAAATAGGTAATTGGCGACGACGTTGTCAGCTCACGATTCAGGACAGAATAAGGAATGAAGATGTGTTAGCAAGACTAAACATAGGGGCCACAATTTTCGACACTTTAGAGGCAAAGTGCCTGCGATGGTATGGGCACGTGCATCGAAAAGATGAGGGAAGGTGGCCACAAAACAAAAATCATCGAATGGACCCCTGCTGAGAGAAGAGGAGGACGCACTGGAAGGCAGCAGTAACTAATGCGATGGACGAAAGAAATCTGCAAGAAACAACTGGAAAAATCGTAGCAAATGGAAGCTAGGATGCTACAAGCGACTCTAAGTTGTAATAAATTTGCCAAATAATAAAAAATCATAAGAATAAGGGTCAAGGATAAGAATAAGGGCAAGTATAAGGACAAGAATAAGGGCAAGTATAAGAACAAAGGCAAGTATAAAAATAAAAGATAGGTAAGAATAAGGCCTAGGAGAAGAACAACAGGGTGAGAATAAAGGGAAATATAAAAACATAAGGCCAAGTATAAGAATAAGGGCAAGGATAAGAATAAGGACAACAGTAAAAATAAGGGCAAATATAAGAATAAGAATAAGGAGAAAAAGGGGAAACGTAGAAAAGGAGGAGGAAGAGAAAGAAAAAGGCTGCTCACCGGAAGTCAAAGAGACGTGCAATCGTTGAAAGTAATCTGGGAAGTGCTCGTGACATGAAGGAACGTGAAGGGCCTACAGGCCGTCTCCGAGACCTCGTTCGCATCTCTTTGTGCTAAGTACAAATAAGATATGCAATTAAAGTTGATTTTTTATTAAGGCACTGAAATTAAACAGTTGTTTCAATACAGACACTCAACTAGCAACTAAATGCTCGTCGAAAAGGGCTTGACTGAAAAAATTTAGTAAGACGTTACGAAAGCTACATATTTTCCATCAAAGACATTTCTTTCATTTCACCGCGTGTTGCGTTTCTATTCAACTTTAGCGAGGTCAATTATGATCAATTTTATTGTCTAAGGGTATTACGTTATTTCAATTTACTTTACTATATTGCGCAATTATTAATGTTCTAATACAGCTCACGAAGGAAAAGAAATTGCCGCGTGTCGGAGCGTTTAGATTTTCCAGGTAACGGGTATTGCCAAGACCATCCCGTCTATGTCGCGGCCGAGGTTAAGAATAAAGTCGTCTCTAATAGCGATTGTGATGCCAAATGTGGCGCTACTCCGATGTACTGTATGAACCAAAAGTTACGTGCTCGTTCGTGTCGGCGAATCCCGCAATGGGGCGGAGTGCTAGTTTAGCATTCAATTATTTTGTCTCGAACCTAACCAATTTTATGAAAGGTATTTTCTTTCCTTTCCTCGTATCTAAAACTATTCTTATGGAACCCTGGTATTTGGAGTTATAATTGTTCCACTTGCAGCTTATCTTGTTGCAAAGCCAGGTATTGAACTGCCAACGACTGCTGCCGCTGTTTCGTAAACAATCCATTACACTTTTTTCTGGACTATTCTCTTTTAAATAGGTACTTATAAACAGTAATAACTATTTGTTTTCCCCACTATGGAGCACTTTACCACTCTTGCACTTAACTGTTGGTGGATCACATATTGTAAATTAATTTTGCAAATAAAAATAAATTAAATTTTAAAAAATTGTAAATTAATAAATGCATCACAATCTAAAAACCAAAAGAAAAAAATACATTAACTTTAACGTGGTTAAAACCATACATCTCAAAGCCAAAACAACAACGAAACAGAGGGAAGGAACACAAGGAACCGGAAGCACAGTACAATACGGCAACGAAATGGCAACCGCAGTATAATATAGTACCTGGCACCTGTGGCCGATCCACCTGCCAAACGTACCGCATTAAAAATAATAAAAATCAATAAATTATAATGATATTCGCCACGGTTTGTAGTAAATATCCCTATACAGTATTTGAATAACTCCCGAGTGTGCGGATGAGCGATTCCATCCCTCACGGATATACCACTTCCCGTGCACCAATCAAGGCACGAAACATTTGACGCGTATAGATCTCCTGAAGGGAGAACGGTTAATTTTTTGCGTATCTGGCTATAAGATTCAAAGAAATTTCCAAAACGTGTTTTTTCGTGTTTTGGCGCGGCGGATATCACTGACTAATAATTAGAAAACTGTGCATTAAAACAAAGTAAAGCGAGAGCGCTGGGCATGTAAATATTCAACAAAAGTCGATCTCCACCAAAGTGCATTCGTCAATGTTATTGATATGGAAGGGGGGAAAATCCCATATTTTGCTCAAAACGCTGCAGCGTTGCGGGTTGCATTCGGCGCCTCTTCAGGCTTTCTCTTAAAAGATTCTTTGATAACCAAGAGATACATACTACACTAAAACTTCAGATTTTTCTTAAAAAAAAAAAAAGACCTTTGTTTCATTAATACGTCTTTTTCATATTACTAGGCTACCATAGTTGAATATTAACTTCATTGTATCATAATTATCATCATCAATATTAACATTATTATCGTACGGGCCTCTACTCACTACGCAACATTTCTCTCTCCGAGGCCCAGTTGGAACTTAATCGTTCCGATAAGATGATTTATTTTCAACAATTTCTGGCCACACTATTAATTATTACATTTGTAAGTGAAACCTACTGTTTCACAATTTAGTTTTAGATAATACTTCTAATGATGAAAAATCAATTAAATTGAAAATAAAAAAGATAAAGATTAAAGATAAAAAATGATTTTTTTTCAGCAACAAGGTGTTACACTATTCATACTTTTGATAGTGTTCATTGGAAGTGTGAAATCACCGCATCGGTTATGTATGTTGTAGGTAACGACAATAAGTGGTTATCAGTAGGGCCCGAATGTTTATGGTCGAAACATTTGAGAAATAGCAAGCAATTATGACCTAAAAAATATAAAAATAAGACCATAAATATGGCTTAATTTTTTTTGAATGGATTGGCGAAACTTTAATAATCTTCCGTTTTTTAAAATAATCATTATATTAAAAATATACTTTTAATAACTAGCACATTGACAATATTAGCCCTTCTCCTTTTGAAGACAATTCTACCAGCTTACATTATTTATAGAAGCGGTTGAACTTGGCAAAAAACTGGACAAAACTAAACTAACACTTCTACACGTCTGGGGTGCTTTCTACGCTTTTTTTCCCGTTCTTTATAACGTATTCTCCCCTTACAATTAGGAGAAGTGAAAAATCTATATGAGACGACTGCAAGCAAGTATGCGAAAACGGAAACAAAAAATGAAAATATGACAAAAAGTACGAATATTCACGGAAAATATTATCATAATCAGAGAGAGAGAGAGAGAGAGAGAGAGAGAGAGAGAGAAAGAGTAAGAGAGAGAGAAAGAGTCAGAGAGAGAGAAAGAGTCAGAGAGAGAGAGAGAATGAGTCAGAGAGAGAGAGAGAGAATGAGTCAGAGAGAGAGAGAGAGAGAATGAGTCAGAGAGAGAGAGAATGAGTCAGAGAAAGAGAATGAGTCAGAGAGAGAGAGAATGAGTCAGAGAGAGAGAGAGAGTCAGAGAGTTACGAGAGTCAACGTAGGATATTTTTACGAGCCGGGCGGCGCTACTCGAGGGCTGACCTGCACGGCATCGGGCGCGGCGGCCGGGCGAAGGGGCTGCGAGAGGCGGCCGTGCACCAGCGTGCGGCGGAAGAGCGCGTCCCACGACGTGGCCGTCACGTGGCAGCACAGCGCGTCCTGCAGCGTCTCCACGGCCGGCGCCACCGCCGCCGGCACCGCTCCTGCGCATACGCGCCCCGCACACAAATGCAGTAGGCGAAACGATAAAGAGATACTTCGCCTAAAAGAGAAAGGCACCCACTATCGCGACAGCGACGATGCATCGGGTGAGGCGTATTTCTCGATTACATAAAGTACTTCTGTCGTGTCGTGTATGTTTGCTATGATTTCTTATCATTTATTTTAGCACATCCTGAAGTAAGAAATAGTTGCCTTGCTAGGTTCGGTTAAAAAGTTTCCAGCGCTGCTGGAAGGAGCGCTCACGAAAATATTGAAAACAAACAAAAATAATAATATAAATAAAAACACTAATATAAATAACAATATTAATAAATAATAACAATTTTATAAATAATAGCATTATTATAAATAAAAAATTGAAAGATTGACAGCAATAACCTTAAAAAAAGCGTGACGCGTAATCACGTCAATATTTCGTGAATGTGATGAAATAGGTAAAACTGTAGTGAATAAAGTGACAAAATAATAGATCTACACTTACGAGTAGACTACCCCGACCTTTCATATTAAAAGTCAAACTAGGAAACCACGAAGAGAATTGTCAATATTTGTTTCCCTAACAGCAAGGAACACGCCTCCGGCAATATCTTAAGAAATGTACAGATTATGAACAGAAAATAAACAATACAAATGTAGGAGATTTATCAGCACACACAAAATATATAAGATATACAAAACAAACATGAATAAAAAAGGAGAATCAAGAGGTAAGGCGAAATGGAAACAGCGAGAAACGAAGTGAGCCGAGACACACACACACACACACACAGAAAGAGTCAGAGAGAGAGAGAAAAAGAGTCAGAGGGAGAGAAAAAGAGTCAGAGAGAGAGAAAAAGAGTCAGAGAGAGAGAGAAAAAGAGTCAGAGAGAGAGAAAAAGAGTCAGAGAGAGAGAGAAAAAGAGTCAGAGGGAGAGAAAAAGAGTCAGAGAAAGAAAAAGAGTCAGAGAGAGAAAAAGAGTCAGAGAGAGAAAAAGAGTCAGATAGAGAGAGAGAAAAAGAGTCAGAGAGAGAGAAAGAGTCAGAGAGAGAGAGAGAAAGAAGAGAGAAAGAGTAAGATGAGGAAAGACTCTTAGAGAGAGAGAAGAGAAGAAGAGAGAGTAAGAGAGACAGAGAATCAGAGAGAGAGAGCAAGAGACCAGAGAGAAGAGCAGAGAGAAGAGCAGAGAAGAGAGAAAGAGAGGAAGAGAGACAGAAATAAAGAGGGAGATGGAGAGCGCGTACCGGCGACGAGCAGCTGGTGCAGCCAGCGGCGCAGCTGCGCGGCGGCTTCGGGCGGCGCGGGCCCCAGCGGTGCGGCGCCCCACCACAGCAGCTCGTGCTCGGCGCGCGCGCCCACCGCCGCCCACAGCGCCGCGGCGTAGAACACGCGCACCCGCTCGCGCGCCGCGCGCGTCGCCTTGGCCTGGCCCGTGCGCCGCGACGTCGTCAGCGCCCCGGGCCCCAGCAGCTCCGGGCACGCGCGCGCCGCCACGCCCAGCAGCGCGCACACCTGCGCAACGCGACTCGCTGGCGATGCGCTCCTTCGTGGGACAGCTGACGACGGCTGCACACCGAGTAGGTCGAGGAATGGGGGTGGGGTGAAACGGGTAGTGTGAGTGGGGTAGGCGAGGCACCCGAAGTTCTAAGGAAGGGACAGAGGGTTGTGCGTATGGAGAGACAAGACGATGAGGTGCGGGGAGAAGGAGGAGGCTTCGATCGGAAGATGCAGGAGTGGTAAACTTGGAAGAATAGGGGAGAGAGGGGTTGTGAATGGTCAATGTTTCTTAGCAGAATGTTATGCTGTTTAAAGTACGATTAGAGGATTAAAATTGGTCGTGAAACGCAGTTCACTGTAAGCTTTGAGAAAAAATGTTATTGAATTAGGCGGTATAAAAAGGGGTATACAACGAACCCCTAATCTTTGCGTTTCCGAATACATGGGGGAATCCACATTGGGTTGAATATCGAAGCCAGAATCCCATATAGGAATTATTAGACGTTTCCGGGCTGATAAGCCGTCCAATTGACCCTTCAACGGCAACTGGACCACGACCTATCGGCCGGAAATTTCAACAAAGATTGGCTCCGACCGTGAAAACCTTCGGTGCTACGTATAAGAATTGTTGAACTTTCATTAATATTTATGCCAATGTATGTTCATTCATCAAATGATTGACACGCCATTTATATTCGACGTCATACACAGTTAACTCTTTCATAGGGACTTTCTACGTACATTCAAAGCAATATGTCCACTAATTTGTACTTTTAAAATGGGGGTCTATAAAAAAAGAATTGTTTCATACATGAGCTAGAGATAACTCAAGTGAATAGTTATTTCTCAATCATGGATCTTAACTTCCAGTCACAGAGTTGTGATTCACCGAAACTGCTCCATTCGTAGCGAACCGCCATTTAAATCGCCTGACTGATGTCTCGTTCTTAGTCGACCCGTCGATCGTCTGGTCGAGCGCTTACCTGGTCCTCCTCGACGCGCACGAGGCGCGGCAGCGCGGCGGGGTCGAGGCGCGACACGGCGCCCTTGGCGACGGGGGCGGTGCCCGGCGCGCCCGTGCCCTCCACTGGCGGCAGCACCGTCGCGCACGGCGGCGTCAGGTGTCGCGTCAGCGCCCTGCAACGTTGTAACGTTGCCCTTCGCTGCAGGTGTTGTGCCACTAGCAGTGATTGCAGGCAATTAAAAATGCTTCCAGCACAGGATGCAAAAATATAGAGTTCGCAGGGAAGTGAAGTTCCCCGGAAAAGTGTGGTGATGAGCGAGGTTTCAAGTACAGAGACAAGTCCGATGAAGTATGAAAATAAGTTTCATGAAAAAAGTACAGCTGCTGAGCAGCGTGAAGTTAATACAGCAAAGTCTCTGGGCTGTCTGCCCGTTATCAGCGCTAGAGGATCCTCACATAGAAAAGCAGGAAAATTTATGAAGCCATTACGCCACTCCCGCCAGAACTCTACATGTCCTGGACGCAATAAACTGACATTACTGTCTGAGGACATTTGCCGTTTTGAAATCACGGTCTCATATGTTCCTAAACATCCCCGCTTCTACAATCTGAATTCATGTTAGCGTTGACAGCGGTTTGGGGAGCCTTCTCATAAATGATCTTAAGACCTGCTCCGGACGCGACCCTAATTTAGATAATTTTGAAAAGCGATATTTCTCTCGTGTACATGTTTGAGAAAAATATTCATTGCTTCTCTTACGCAATTACTATTGTACGTAGGTGCATTTACCATTAGAACGTCAAGCGCCGCCGCCAGCCGCTCAGCGGAACGCCACTCCCACGCCTCAGCGCTACTGGCTGCTTCGTTGAAGGATTATTTCGAGTTTCCGGGCGTGTCAACGGCTATAGCCGTTTCTTCCCTAAGTACAATTTATCACTGAAGAAGGCGTTGATCTTTCCATGTTGGATGGTGAGATCTGCTTGCGGGGTTTTCTCCAAAGGAACGCCACTCATTCACAAGTGGGCACCACCTTGTTATCTCACCAAAGGAGCACCGCTACTGCCGGGACAAGCTCTAAGCTCCCGACATGTGTGGTAGTATAGTGCATGTACGGAGGTGTCAACATGCTGGCATATGCCGCATTAATAACATTTCGCGCGCCTCTCCCTTTCCAAACAAAAAATACTCCAATGGATTTCTTTTTCAGATAGTAATGTTTGTCAATAAATAATCCTCATAAATTCAGAACTTCTGTTCGCCGAATAAATACAGTGGAACTTCTGTACGAAGTAAATGAGGCGGTGGTATTTTTGGCAAACCATAATTTCGGTTAAGAAGCAAATGTCAATTTTTAAAGATGAAGGTGAAACAAAATGTTCTTTTTCAGCTTGCATAATGACTTACTTTTTAAATACAAGTCTTCATATACACGTTTTTTTTGCAATAATTGCAGAAGCCTACATTTTTGGGAAAAGGTCGTCCTTCTCTGTTTCTTTATCTCATCTCCTTTCATCAGCGAAATCTCACTTTCTCCGCTCCATCTCTAAGAAGAGTGTTGTCTGGAAAGATGGGGATGACACATCGCGAACATTCCGTTTTGTGTCCTTTTTATTGGTCGATCGTTTCGATTAAGAGAGTTTCAGTTAAATGATTAATTGTTTAGTGATTCCGGGCATATAAACTCACAAGGTCTCGTACATGTAGTGCATGTTTTTGCTCATAATAGCTAGTAAAGAGGTGGCGGTGATTTTTCACCAGCTGTATGGCGCGATCCGGCGCCGACCTACCGTCAGCTAGCGGGGTTTTCCCCAACCAGATATCTTTTACCAGCGCGGCGCCATCCCAGCCGGGACAAGCTCTAAGCTTTCGACCGGTCTCGCGGCATGTGTGGTAGTGTAGGGCAAGTAAGAGTAAGTGTGTGTGTGTGTGTGTGTGTGTGTGTGTGTGTGTGTGTGTGTGTGTGAGGGGTGAGGATAGGACAAGGAAGAGGAAGGTGAGCTCGTGCGCTATCGGCCAGTTTGTTATAGTTCGCTCCGGCATTCGCTCGCTATTGATTGGAGAAACCACTGATAGCTACCGATCAGAGCAGCTGGCCGCAGGAATTCTCCTCCAGACAGCGATTGAATACGACCTAGCTAACAAATTAGTGTCGAAAATCCTGCCTCTGCCTAGGACCTCCCTATCAGAAAAATAATTGAAATAATGTTCTAATATTTATTAAAATGTGTTAACTCCGTATATTTTCCCTTTTAATTTGTGGCTCCCTTACAATTGTGTCCTTGTTTTGTGAGGCTTAGTGTACGCATCTAGATAAAAATGTGGCATTTATATGATTATGCTTATATACAGATATGTATCCTGCTTATAAATTAATATGATCAGACTAATATGATTCTGCTTATAAACAGATATGTAACTGTGAATTTGTGAGCTCTTCGCCAAAACAAATTCCAATAGCTTGGTCTTCAAAACTGTTAAAATTGTCATTAACATTGGCAGTTAAAACGGAGTTTTAATCAATAGAACATCAAATATTTGCC